ATGGATGTGCATATATCTGTTCTTGTCCTGGCTCTCACTTCTTTAGGATATATACCTAGTAATGGAATGGCTGGGTCAAATGCTATTTCTAATTCCAACTTTTTAAGGAATCACCATACTGCTTTCCACAATGGTTGTATCATTTTACAGTCCTACCACCAGTGCATGAGAGTCCCAGTCTCTCCATATCCTCGCCAGCATTTGTTATTTTCTGTCTTGTTGAACTTTGCCATTAGTGCTGGGGTGAGATCGTATGTCATTGTTTTGATTTGTATCTTTCTAATGGCTAATGATCATGAGCATTTCTTCATGTATTTGCTGGCCACCTGAATATCCTCTTTGGTAAAGTGTCTATTCATCTGACCAATCCTTTTGTAGAATCCAATAAAAACAAATGATTAGAAAAGCTAAATGAAAAAAAATTCAAAGAACTAAAGGATTCAAAACACATATATTAGATTCAACAGACTTAGTATTACTCTGTCAAATTGCTGTAAAATTTCTAAATACTTCTTCTCAATTTCCATACTTACTATGACCGAGACCAGCATTGGATACAAGACCAGTTTTGTAAGATGTAGGGAATAGATAATTTTTGCTGTAAGTTGCAACCTTAGATGGAAAACAAAAGCAAATTCATCAGGGCATGCACCTTGGAAATAGTCCCGAGGCCATATATAAAATTGTTCATCTGTGTTAGTTTTGAGGAGCTATAGAATGTAGCAGTGATCAAGACATAGTTCCTTTTCTCAGAGACTGAGGTGAGAATAGAAAATAAATATAAACACTAAGAAATTATTAATAATAATAAATAATAGAAAATAAAAAGGATAATAAGGTAATAGGGGCCTGGGGGGGTGGATAGGGCTACTTTAAGTTTGCTACATCTAGAAGCCTCTCTGAGGAAGTGACATATAAAGCTCATATCCCAAATGATGAGTCACACATTGAAAGATCTGCAGGAAGAATATTCTAGATAGGACTGCAGGTACAAAGGCACTGAGGCAGAGGCCTTGGCATGTTCAAGGACAGAAAGGAGACAGTAAGGCCTACAGAGAACAATATCTTTCAGGCAACATGTTGTTTGAGACTAGACAAAAGGATCAATTAAAGGGTTGTGGATAAGGAAAATAGTATGTTTTGTGCAACCCAAAGATGAAGTCATGGAAACAGGTGAGTTGGATTGCAACTGGGAGACATTTAAAAAGCCAAACCCAATGCCATTGAGTGGATTCTGACTCATAGTGACCCCCATTGGGTTTCCAAGGCTATAAATCTTTATGGAGGAGCTCTGGTTAGCAGTCAGATACCTTAGACACTACGCTACCAGAGCTCCTCCATAAAGATTTATAGCCTTGGAAACCCCCCAGCCACTCCTCAGAAGGAAGATGGGGCAATCTCATTCCATAGTGATACTGCTTCAGAAATGCAAGGAGGGGTTGCTATGAGTCAGGTCCGACTCGATAGCACATAACAACAACAAATCTTTATGGAAGTAGATTGCCTCATCTTTCTCCTGCAGAGCAGCTGGTGAGTTTGAACCACCAACCTTCTGGTTAGCAGCCAGATGCCTTACCAACTACATCACCAGAACTCCTCGGGAAACATTTAGGACCCAAAAAAAATCAGCCTCATCAATGACCTTGTCCAGAGTCCTGCTGTGTAGAGAGGAGAAGAAAAGAGGACTGCTGTTCTGTGGGAGAGAAAGAGATGAGGAACCAGAGAAGGAAGGACTTGGAGAGAGGGGCCTGGGCTGTAAAGAAGCAAGAATGAGGAAGCTTTGAAGGAAGCATTGGAGAGAGTTCTCAGCAGTGGTTGGTAAGCAACAGGTACTTGAAGCAGGACAAAGAGACTCCTTAGGATGGACTTTGTCACATTCAACTCAATAAGCACTCTGAAATCAGCTTGGTTTTCATAGCACTTAGGGATGTCAGGATAGAGCGCAGCACATTCACGTTTAAACAACTGACTTCTGAAGTAGGAAAAGCAGTTCTTAGAAAATTATTAAATATGTTAGGACCATGAAGACCCATTTGTAACTCATCATCTTGATACTTTTCAACTATGTTGTTGTTGTTTGCCATCGAGTCGGCCCCGACTCATAGCGACCCCTCCTTGGGTTTTCGAGGCAGTATCACTACGGAAGTAGGAATGCCTATGGAAGAGTAGAAATAGGCCGGTGTGAAGTGATCTAAAACTTTCTCTTCTGAATGTTGCATCTTCTTAATATCCTTTCTTAGCTCTCTACCCAACTGGTTCTTTTGTTGTTGTTGTTGTTAAGTGCCGTCGAGTCGTTTCCGACTCATAGCGACCTCATGCACAGCAGAACGAAACACTGCCCGATCCCGCGCCAGCCCCACAATCCCTGCTATACTTGAGCTCATCATTGCAGCCACCGTATCAATCCATCTCGTTGAAGGCCTCCCCCTCTTTCGTCGACCCTCCACCCTACCAAGCATGACATCCTTCTCCAGGGAATGGTCGCTCCTTACAACATGACCAAAATAGGTGAGACGAAGTCTGGCCATTCTTGCTTCCAAGGAGCATTCTGGCTGCACTTCTTCCAGGACAGATCTGTTAGTTCTTTTAGCAGTCCAAGGTACTTTCAGCATTCTTCGCCAGCACCACAACTCAAAAGCATGAACTCTTCTTCGGTCTTCCTTATTCATTGTCCAGCTTTCACATGCGTACCAGGCGATTGGAAATATCATGGCTTGTGTCAGGCGCACCTTAGTCCTCAAGGAGATATCCTTGCTCCTCAGCACTTGAAACATTTCCTTCGCAGTTGACTTTCCCAATGCTGCACGTTGTCTAATGTCCTGACTGCTGCTTCTGTTGGCATCGATTGTAGAACCAAGCAATGTGAATTCCTTGACAACCTCAATCTTCTCTCCATTTATTGTGATGCTGCTCATTGGTCCATTTGTGAGGATTTTTGTTTTCTTTATATTGAGACATAATCCATATTGCAGACTGTATTCTTCAACCTTCATCAGTAGGTGCCATAAGTCATCCTCACTTTCAGCAAGCACTTGAAAGCTTTCTCTTTTCCATATGAGTAAGGCTGGGTTTACTCAGATGTTGCAACTCTTTCCCAGTCCTATTTTGAGAGCCTTTTAGCCTAAACAGACTATTCCTAAAGGTGCGTGGTAATGTACCAAACAGTGTTTCTTTGCTATTCATAAGGTTTTCCCTGGCCAATTCTTTCAGAAGTGGACGGCCTCTTCCTTCTTCCTAGTCTGTCTCAGTCTATAAGCTGGGCTGTTACCTGTGCACCAGGTGCATCTCTCTGGGTTTTAAACACCAGAGGCTCAGCCTCCAAAACTCACGTCTATATGTCACCACAGTAGGACAAACCGACAGACAAGTTTGTCTTGCTGCTGGAGACCTCTCGTGTCACCCCTACCTGGCTGACTATTCCTCTGTCTGACTTCCTGGCTTTTAATCCCCTTTCTCCAGCTCTTCCGGCCTGCTACTCTGGCGACCCTGCGTTGTCTCTCCTCACCTGTGAGCCAGGGGCTCAAGGCTTTTATCCCCTTCCCTGCTCTTCTGGCCTGCTACTCTGGCGTCCCTGTGTTGTCTCTCCTCACCTTGTAATAGTTTTGGGTTTATGGTTCTTTTACCTAACTGAAATTTGAAAAAAAAAATTTTAAGTGGAATATGCAGTAAGGGTATCACCAGAGCAAACAAACTGTATAGTCCCACCACAGTCAAACCTGGAGCTAAATTTCAAGCAAGTGAGTCCCTGAAAAAATAAAAATAAAAACAGACAAAAAAGATGTAGTGTGAGTCACCAGGTCACAAAGAGCATATTCTTTTAAAAAAAAAAAAAAAAGGAAGACATGCCCATAAGCCCAAATTTTTATTTTCTGGTTTCTCTTCCCACATTTAGAAACTACGGGAAATTTGTAAGTTTTGCAATATCCAAATGAGTTTTAAAAACACCAGTTCTTGAGGTCAAACTTGCCTACTTTGGTTACGGGTGCAGGTTCAGCTGAAGGTCTGGATGAAGGCTTCTCCTGTAGTTGATTTAGTCTCTGTGTATGTGACGTTTTGTGGTACCCCAAGAATAATATACTCATAAGCTCTTGGAGCAAAAACAACACAAAATACACTTTTATTCCTCTACTTCTTTAACAGAAGATGAAATGGAGGCTCAGGGAGGTACGATGTAATTTGCCCAAAGTCACACAGACAGTTAAGAGCTGAGCCAGATGGGGCCCAGGTCTGCTAATGATTTTTACTTTAGCACTTTCTACTTTTATTATGTGACAACTCCTTAATCCATTTGAGTCTTACTCAATTCTAAATGCCAAATTAGGTTATAAAATAGCATGTTTTCTTTCAATGTTAAATATAAATTCCTGGTTACAATTCCTTTTTGGGTAATACATGTGCAGATTTGATTATTCTGCCACTGGAAATATTTCAAGGACTAGTTGAAATTGGGAAATGTTTTGAACTTCATATATACATTTTTTTTTTTTTTTGGTATTTAGGTTTTCCTAGAACTTTAGTACAGGCTGAAGCCCTGGACAAAATTTGTGAGCTGGATCTTGTGATCACTTTGAACATTCCATTTGAAACGCTCAAAGATCGTCTCAGCCGACGTTGGATTCACCCTCCTAGTGGAAGAGTATATAATCTGGACTTCAATCCACCTCATGTACATGTAAGAATAAGTGAAATGCTTTTACAAGTTGACAAGAAAAAGGCAGAACATTTCAGTTGAAAAATGAGTGAAGGATATGAGGAGGCTGTTCCAAAAAAAAGCAAATTTGCATGGCCAACAAACATTTTAAAATGCTCAAATTCACTTCTAGTCAGGGAATGCAAATCAACATAAAAATAGAACTATCACTGTGGATCCATTGGACTGGATAAAATTAAAGATTATAATACCTGTTCTTGGGGATCTGAGAAAAAATGATACTCTCATCTTTATTAGATAATACAAAGTATAAATAGTCATCTTTAAAGCTACCTAGCAGTGTACATTAAAATTTTAAAATATTTCATTCAGCTCACTTTTGGGGTCTAGCCTGTGGAAATGAAAGTCCTGGCAGGGAAGGTCATGTGTGCAGTGATGCTTATTTCAGTGTTATTTGTAGTGGCAAAAAAAAAAATAATAATAACCTAAAAATAAAATGAATGTTCATCTGTAGGGGAGAATTAAATAAATTACAGAACATCCACATATTGAAATATTATGTAGTCAGTAAAAAGAATGAATTAGCACTATACTCATTGACCTGGGGGCATAATCAAGGTATATTGTTGAATGAGAAAGAAAATTGCAGAAAAATCCCACTTTTTAGAAACTGTGACCACCCTTCCTTCTCTCTCACACTCTCTCCCTCTTCCCTCCTCCTCCTTTCCCTCTTTACCTCTTGCCCTCATCCCCTTCTGTGTGTGTGTATGTGTGTGTGTGCACGCGCACGTGCGCGCACATACATGCGCTAGCTTTACAAGAATGAGGATAAAGAGATAAAGGGCTGGTAAAATGGTTGGAGCTGGGACTGAAGTAGGGAATGGAGTCAGAAATGAATGAGGGGGATTAAAGAGACTGGGGAGGGCTAAACGAATAAAAAGATAGTCCTTTAATGTTTCAAAATGAACATCAGGAATGTAATACAAATAAAGGTAGATGTTTAAAGAAACTTTTGAAAGTAACAAATTCATTTTAAGAGTTATTGTTCTTTCTCATAAAGACATGAATTAGTTGAATCTGGTATTTCTTAACCAATTACTGTGTGGTAGATAGTATTACTTGTTATCATCCAAACACAGAAGGGGTTTCAATTGTGTTGAATTGGGTTCAACTTTATGGAAAAGGTTAAACTTGAAGATAGATTCAGTAATTATCACAGAAAACTACTTCAAGAGGCTAAGAACAACTTCCCAACTCTTCCTGGGTGCTATAGTCTTAATATAGTCCTAGTAAGACTTACCCATTTAAGTACTCTCCTTCTGATGTCTGGTTTTAAAAATGTATATAGTTCTAGAATTCGTTTATTGGATCCCTTCCTCCTTTCCCTCCCAAGAAGCTAGGATGGTGGGGGTAGGGGAAAGGCTGGGAGGAAAAAGATGTTCTGAAAATACAGATGGGAACACTGAAGTCCAACACAAATGCTTCGCATTTTGGCTCTATCCAGACCTGCATATTCAAAGATTCTCATAAAATTTGAGGAGCTTTCACATTGAGTTATTTTCCAAAGCTTAGGTTTCTCTGAAAGAACACTTGCAATTCCAATGTTACTTCCAAACACAGCAGTTAAAATACTGGTCTGGGCCAGCTCTGCTAGTGCTGTGGCCAGCCTCCCTGGAGAGGAGAGATACTGTTGTCCCAGTATCATTCTGCTCTTTCTGAAAGCTCTATTTTATTTGCTGGTGCTCTAAAGACTGGGAAATGACTTTTGAACCTGGTGGCTGTAAGTTTAAAAAAAGGAGATGGGAATATAGGTGATGTACTGCTTTCTACCCATCCCCATCTGCCCTGTCAAGTCAGGTTCACAGCCATGGAATACACATATGATAATTATGTGGCTCACCAGTAAATCACAGTGTAAGTTATGAATCCAAGGCCCTGAACTATAATGGAATTTTAGGACCTTTCAAATGTATAGCCAGTTTCTGATTAGCCAGTTGAGTTACCTGAGTCTTTTGGTTTTGCTCTAGTCTGCCTTTAGACAGATTTATTTCTTGTGACTATCTCCCCTGGTGAGTAATAGCCATTGGTATGGGAGGCAAAATTCTGATGTGTCCATTTTTTCTGTTTGAAAATTGATATGGTTTCTGAGGAGGTTAAAATACACTTTTGATTCCCCTTCCCCAAATTATATTTTCAGTTCTCATAATATTTGTCTCTCATTATCCTGGGTAATTGAGTCATGACCATTTAAACAGACCTTTAGATATAATGTTATCGTTTGATCTAGTAAAACAACCTGGGTGAGATGACTCTCAGAGGAGCTAGGTGACGGAGTTTGGAAGCTGGTTAGAGGTGAAACTGAAATGTCTTTTCAAATTAGTGTTTTTCCTAAGTAAATGAGTTGGTTCTTTGAGACATCTGTTTTGGTTACCTACTACCACTCTGACAGGAATATACCACAAATGGGATGGCTTGGACAAGCAGGAATTTGTTCTTTTACAGTTTGGAGGCTTTAAGTCTGAGTTCAAAGTGCCAGGCTCTAGGGGCTAGGTGAAATCCCCTCAACCTTAGGCTTCAGCTCTGCCTCCTGCTCCCGGCCCACTGGAACTAGAGGCTTTTCTTCACTCAGAGAGCTGCTTGCAGCTGAGGCTGCCAAGCCCAAGGATGATGAGTAAAAAGGCACAGTCTCGATGTTACCAAACCACATGGCAGGCCATTAATTCATCATGGGGAATACTACATCTAGCTGCCCAGCCACTCAACCAGGCCCAGCCAAGCTGACACACAGACTTAGCTACCAAAACACTTTATTTTTCTTCTTAAGAACTCAGGCTTTATGGTGAATGTTATAACATGGATGAACATGGAAAACATTAAGCTAAGTGAAATAAATCATCCAGAAGAGGACAAATATTGCTTGATTTCATTTACATGAAATAGGCAAATGTATAGAGACTGAAGCTTATTAGTGGTTACCAGAAGTTGGAGGAAGTCATTGCTTACCCCTAATTTCTGTTAATGGTGGTGAAATAATTTGGAGAAGGAAGTAGTAATGGTGGCATAAGGAGCCCTGGTGACACATTGATAAGAACTCAGCTGCTAACTGAATATTCAGCAGTTTGAACCCATCAGCTGCTTCACAGGAGGAAAGACCTGGTTATCTGCTCCTGGAAAGATCACAGCAAAGGAAACACTAAGGGGCTGTTCTGTTCTATCAAATGGGTTGCTGTGAGTTGGAATTGATTTGACGGCACACAACAGTGGTAGCATATGATGAACGTAATCAGCGTCACTCAATTGTGTATATAAAAATTGTTGCAAATGTTTTGAGATATATATATATTTACCACAGTTTAAAAAAAAAAAAAGCTCAAGTCTTAGCCAGATGGCTTGTGAATATGAAGTTTTTAGGAATATTTAGAGGACCAGAGTGACATTGTGTGAAGGTTATTTGCTGTTGGGGGAAGCATTGAATATTAAACCGTTCATTAAAAGTACCATTTATCAATAGCACTAGAATACATTTGGAAAAACCTGAAGAGTTAAAGATGTAATGTCAGCTCTCATGAAATAAGGTTAACATACTGTGTTGAGTGGGATTTATTTTTCAACTCCCCTTACCATTGCCATTTTTACCCAGGTCTAACTCCATCATGTGGTAGGAATCAAAGGTCAGTACATGGTTTTGCACAAGAAGTTTTAACCTATGGAATGGCTCAACTGTTGGCCGTACTAACTTGTTTCTGTGGTATTTATAGGGGATTGATGACATCACTGGTGAACCATTAGTCCAGCAAGAAGATGATAAACCTGAAGCAGTTGCTGCCAGGCTAAGACAGTACAAGGATGTGGCAAAGCCAGTCATTGAGTTATACAAGTGAGTGTGTGTCAACATTTTCATGGTAATGAGCCAACTAGAAACATGCTGAGCCTGGTGGGAAGTATATTGGGCTGAGGCAGCTTAGTGTCCTTTTAAACTGTCTGAACTCTAAAAGCCCAGTATCTCCTCAGAGATCAGTTGAAATACCGTGATTTTATACGAAAGATGATGTCCAATGCTTTTATCAAACTATCTTAACATAAACAACTAAACCTGATTATCTCCATCTGTTTTGGTTGTAACATTGGGCCTAGACTTACTGTCTTTCATTTTCCTTTTAAGTGGCTAAAATTATAGCCTATATTTTGACACTCCCATATATAATATCTGTTTGGAGAGAAGATTCAAAGGGACTTTTGGCCTGGGTGTGTTTGTAGGGAATTGAACAAAGAAACACTGAAACTATAAACTACAAATTGCAATTTTCAAATGGCTTCAGAACCAGGCAGGTATTGGAAATGAGTGGGGCAGACATGGTGAGGGATGTGTTGAGCTGGGAAGTTGAATGGCAGTCCAAGTGAACAGCCTCTATGCTGTTCCAGCCAGTTATCACTACAGGACACACAGGCCCAGTGTGGCCAATGAGTCTTGCTTTTGAAGAGAAGCAAAAGTCTGGTTCTCTGTGTGAAAGACAGAAAAAGAAAACATCTAATTTTTATATTGGCCACAAATGCAAAAAAACAGCATGCAAGCCAAATAAAACCCATCTGGTAAATGCATTCAGGACAGCAGTTTGCAGCCTCCACTATTATCAAGTTCTAGCTTAAAAAAAAAAAAAAAAGTTGCTGTCAAGTGAGTAAGACTCATGGCAGCCCCATGTGTTTCAGGATAGAATTGCTTCATAAGGTATTCAGTGTATGATTTTCAGAAGTAGATCACCAGTAGATCACCTTTTCTTCCAAGGTGCCTCTGGGTAGACTCAAACCATCAACCTTTTAGTTAGCAACTGAGTGCATTGACTGTTTGCACCACCCAGGGACTCCTCTGGCCTTGTAGTCTCCAAATAAATTAACAAACCTTTAGAGCAGAGGTTCCTGATCATGTTATGTAAATACACCCTATGTATCGTGATCCATTGTTGTAAGTAATCAGAATTATAGTAAGTTTGTTAATGATTTGCTTTTCAAAAGTATATATAGAGGAAGCTTTGGGATTATTGCTATAATGTTATTCTTTGATATGTTGATGAGGAAAAAAAGGTGGCACCGTGGCAAGCATGCTAGATTTGCAAAACCTGTGTATTTATTTAGGTATTCCCAGTGATGTTTGCGCTTTTGAAAGAGGTTGTTTTGGCACTTAGTGATGTGTGACTAGACCATATGATCATGTTTGCTCTGTACCCAGGATCTTCATCTGTCCTGATAGTATACTAAAAGGAAACTTAAACTGTCTTTGTGTGTTGGACTTTGTTTTTCAGGAGCCGAGGAGTGCTCCACCAGTTTTCTGGGACGGAGACTAACAAGATCTGGCCCTATGTTTACACACTTTTCTCGAACAAGATCACACCTATTGAGTCCAAAGAAGCAAACTGAGCTTGCTCAATGGAAGAACCAGGAAACTGTGGTCATTCATTCAGTTGTGTGTGAAGTATTGGTGCCATGTCCAAATTAGAAGCTAGCTGATACAACTTGCAGTGTCTTTTCTAGTTTCAATGGTGAACTGATATGAAAACTAATGAGTAGAAAGAGTTAGTGAAGAGGCTGTTCTCTGTCTTTCAAAAAGACGGACACCTGTGTATGTTGAAGATGTCTCTGCACAGGTCTCGAGTCCTTCATGAGAAATGAGTATAGGTTGGATTTCAAACAGTGTATAATCTAAGCTCTTGCTAATTTTGACAGCCATGTTGTTGCTGTAGTAGCCTTTTTACATGTGGTGGTCTCTGGTTCTCCCTATGTCCTCAAAGGCTGTTGAACCACAGCACCAGTAGGCCTGAGAATGCCAAGGGCTGTAGCCTTGGCTTTGCCTCAGGTTCTTTCTTACGTGCCCTTCTTGTGGCAATGGGATTGAAGCCAAATGTGCTCAGTGATTGCATCTCTGGCCTTGAGTGACTGTGTCCACAATTCATTTTTTCTGGTAGGAGTGACACTTCTTTTCTATATCTGTGCTCCATAGAAACTCCTTTTCACACATCCTGGAAGGAAAGGATTTGGCTTTTCCTATTTTTATTAGACTATGTTATTTGTACATTTGTTTTCTCCCTTCCTAGGCTGTTAAGTAATAGTGGTGATTATTACTTTTGTCCCTCTCAAATTCCTTTCTCTGGGCTGAGAGCTAGGAGACTATGTAGATTTCTTCATGCACCAAGAAGTAAACTATGCAGAGGGTCTTAAACTGCTACTCTGACTCTCATGAGTTGACACTGCTCCTTTCTTTTATTATGGAAAAAAAAAAAAAAAAGCCCCACAGTCTCCTGAGAATCTGCAAAACCATGAGCAGTATCACCTACATAAATATTGAAAGATTTTATCTCCTATATAGAAGTAATAGGATCATATGAAATTACTGGACTGAGAGTATTTTAGCTCTTTATACAAGACAACAAAAAATGTATTTTGAAAATGCTGCTAAATATTGATGCTGACATTGTTTCTGTCCTGCAAATGATCCAAGCATATTATAAATACTCAGTGAAGGGAATGGAGCCTGTGGGTTGAGGGAAGTGTTGCACTAGCTGTGCCTAGACTGAGTATGACAGCTTTATGATTATGGGAAAATGAAGTCTTATTTTTTTCTATTCCAAAGATGCATTATATGAGGTGACCATAAAGTCTAGAAATATAGATTATACTATTTTGTCACGCATGATAATGTCATATCAATAAACAATTTATTAAAGATTTGCCTGTTTTCCAGATTTGGTGGCCACCTTGTATAATTCTTGCTCTCCTCTGGAAAGGGCAATGAACTTTATTCCTGCTGCCTTAAAAATAAATATCTCCTCACATTTTTTAAATTCATATCCCTTCTTCATGTATCATGATTGTGCCCAGGGAGAGTCCTTTACTATTCCTGGAAGTGACTTTTGTCTAACCCTTCATACTAGTAAGGGGAAAAAAGTCTATTTCAGCACTTTCTTCCGTGATATTGGTATTGAAACACATTATTTCCTTTTTGAAGGTGTCTTAGTGAATCCCCAGTCAATTCAGTGCCATCCATGTTCTGTACAGTAATGAGTGCATGTACTGATATGAAAACTAATGAGTAGAAAGAGTTACTGAAGAGTCTGTCCTCTGCCTTTCAGAAAGAGGGACACCTATATATGTTGATATATACTTACAAATGTACCTTACAAATACTTCCCAGACTCTTGGCAAAACCATTCCTTTTCTCCCTTCGTGTGAATGGTGGAAACATAGAGCTGGCTCCTTCTCATCGTACCAATCACAGCAAAATTAGATTGTTTAATTTTTGGTCATAAGCAATTAAAATGACGAGTTCAATCTGTTAGACAACATTGCATTATATTGACTTCTGAGCACTTTGTAACTATTGTGTTTGAATGCCATTTGGCGAGGATAAGGTGAAAATCAGATACATAAATAATGCTCAGGTTTCCTGAGGAACCAGGTATAGGGACAAACAAATCTGATAAAAGAAAATTGCACAATTTAGAGTAGTACTGCCTTTGAAACTATTTCTACAAACTAGGAAGTTGACAGAATTAAGATTCATATGTGGATAATTCAAGAAAGGCAAGTATGTGTTTTGTGTTTTTTGGAAGCAGAAAAAAATTCAAGCTGGTTTCCTTCACTTCCCTCTGTGTTTTGACACTCCAGTGTCAAACTCATTACCTTTGGGGTTTGGGGGAGAGGTATAGGAAATGGACTGATACCTTATTCCATACTCTATTCTTCTGCTTATCCATCCATCCTTCCTTCCAGCTGGACAATTGTTGCCAATGTTGGAGTCATTCAGTATGGGTCAACAGTGTTTGCTGTTGCAGAGATTGTCCAGAAGTTGAGTGCCCTTTGCTAAGTGAGACCAATAAAAGACAAACAGCTTTCTGTGGTCTTTGAACAGTGATGCTTGTTTCATATTTCATAGCCTGAAAAATCTTTTTCCAGTTTTCTTCAGCAGATATTCTTGTTTTCCTTCAAGTGATTTTTTTTATAAAAATTAAAGAGATCTTGAAAATATATTGACAAAAATATAACTAAGGTGTGATGCCTTTTCTTCGTTTTCCTCTCCCACCACATAAGCGGTTTCTTCACATTTAAGCAGAGAAGAGTAGTTTGGATAGTGTCTAAGGTTCCTACCCTGGCTCACATTCTGCCGTTCTAGCCAGCTCTTAATTCAGTTTGCTTTTCATTATCATAACAGGCTTCCCATTTAACATTTGCTTAGAACTTGAAAATGCTGCTGTGTTTAATGCCCTCTAACACTAATGCAAACTTTATATAATAGGTACCATTTATGGAGGGCCTACTGAGTGAAGTGTGCTGTCTTAGGACCTTTAGGACATCTCATTTAGTCTTTCACGTATCCTGTGAGATAAGCATGTTTGTAAATGAAGAAGGCCCAGATCAGAGATGTGAAGCCTCTCACCCAGCATCCTGCTGCCAATGTACGGTGTAGCCAGGACTCAAACGCAGGTCTTCCTGACTCTGAAGTCTGAGTTTGTTCCTGGATATCAACTCTCTATCCTGTCCAAATAACCCAGGGTGCCAGGCCTCCTTGGTTCTGCTTGTATGTTCGAGTGGCCTCACATCAAGATTAGCAGAGTTCATGGTGGTGACATTCACCTCTTCATGAGACTGTTCCTTTGTTTGTTTTTTTCTTTGGTGAAGCAAAGAAAGCTGCTAGAAGGGGAGTCAGCCCTTGCCTCCTTCATAAGTATATATTTATAAATAAAAGGCTGTCAAAGTGGACTGGGCGTGAGTCCAGGCTGATCTGTGCAGGAGGCGAGCTCCTGCTCCTCACCTACCCCTTGAGTGTCCATTGTGTTCTGCTCCTCACCTACCCCTTCAGTGTCCATTGTGTTGTGCCCATGAAGGGGCCTTGAGCCATTCATCCCCAGCTGTGGTGCTCACATGCAGGCTGTGCTTCTTGGAGCAATCAGACACTACTTACTTTTCTTTCTTGAGGACAAAAGATACTTCTCCATCACTTCCACCCCCAAAAGAAACCCTTTCTAATAAACCAATCCTTAAAGTGCTAGAAGATGAACAAAGGGTGGTTGAGCAAGCACCTAACACAGGCAACTCTTGACTTTTTTACTGCCTTCCCTATATTATACCTTCACATGATTGTGAATGCCATATCTAGACCTCTGCTATCTGATCAGTCATGTGGTGGCACTACTTGTCCAACAATTTAGTTTCACTGTGGCAGTAGCCAGGGGAGATTTGCTTCCTACCTTAACCTCCTTCCACTTTCCCTAAGGACCATTCCTCTGCTGCCCTCCACCAGCCAAGCTCAAATGAGCTCCAGCTTCCCCCAGAGAGTGGGGCCTCTCTTTGGTAAGGAAGGAAAAAGGTGAGAATGGCTCTGGATGAGGGATGATGCTTGAAGAGAGGTTCTGCTTTGGCTTTTATTGCCATTTAAAATGTCAGTGAGGCAGGACAGTTTTAGAAAGATGCCTGCACAATCTCATAAATTGGGCTTTTATAAAATTTACTTCACTGAAACCTGAGTTTGATATTCAACTTCAGCCGTTTGTCTAAAAAATAAGAACTTTCTTGCTATGTCGGTCTTTGAGAGACGGGAGATATAAAAAGAAACAGCAAGAATTCTTGCTCGAAGAGTTTACCAGACTCCTAGAGTCACAGGCAAATTTGAAAATGTCTCAAGGTAGAGGCATCTTTAATATGTGTAGTACTTTATGCTAAGGATATTATATGCAACATCTAATTAAATCCTCTACAACTACCCTATATAATAGATAATATCCCAAATTGAAATAATCTTGTTTATTTAAACATGTGTTTTCATGTACCTGTTGGCATTAATCTGGAAATTCAAAAGGGCCTTTTTTATACCTTTCCCTGGTGGAGCTCCCCATTGCCACTAATAGGTAAAATTGCGTTAGCTCCAGCCTGAAGTCTTTGCTTTTGGTGTTCTGGTGCTGAGAGAGAAGATGGGCACTCAGTAAGTCTTGGTGGTAGTTACACACTGTATATACAGAGCATATATGTCTCATCTGTACTCTGCTGGATTATAGGATTTTGGGAGGCATTTTTTTCTACCTAATGGATTTCATTTATTACCATTCATGTAACAGTATCCTTTCCTGCTATAGTTGGTTTTGCTAGAGAGGCAGTTCATAAGGCAATGTCCTATACATAATCTGAGTTGCTCTCTCTATATCCCCCTCTATTCTTAATAACTCCCTAGTCTATTCAGTGTCTCTAAAGAAGAACCCAGTAACAGAGACTTACTTCATATGGGAATGTGATCTGGCCATGAGCTGTCATATATAGCTGTCCCAGTCTGGTTTCCAGATGAGAAATGTGCAAGGCCCAGATGTCAGGAAGCTATGAAACCCTATCTCAACTATGAAAAAATCTGCTTCCTGCCTCTTTTAAGATGTATTATTAAAATTGTTCATAAATGCCAT